TAAATATGCAGGACACGCATGAGCCCAAACATAAAAGGGAATCCAAAATGATAGAATATATGCAAACCCAACAATCTGAAAAGGTGTATGTATATGTTTAGCGTTTGGAGGGGAAGTTTTACACAAATTTCATTGTTTAGTTCAATTGCTGTGTTATGCCACTGAACTAGGTTATGAGAAACATAGAAGAAAAATATAGAAGAATAGCTATTGAATAACTTAAGGAATGAGGAAGAGGAAATTGAAACTGGTCTTTTTATTGTTTGGCCAAAGTAGATTTGCCACATAGATTTGCTTATTGGGCTCTTTTAATGTTGAGTGCTGCTTTAGCTCTCTAGCTTCTAATCGTATTCAAACTATTTCATTCACATCCATAACTTAAGGATGTTTAAGAAAGTTGAAGAGGGCTGAAAAATGTGTCATAGTTTCTACCAACATGAGAAAGTTCTTAGTAACTGGCAATGGTTCAAATTGCTTCAAGTGATTGGATTGTATTTTGCTTGTTTAAAAAAATTTTTTTTTCTGCTATTCAGTTAACCATGACAGCTTACTTTCAGGAGAAAGAGTGGTGTAGGATTTGTATAATTTCCCGTACTTACTGCATCAGAGATTGATTCAAACTGATTTTGAAAAATAACTTTTTAAAATTGATCTTTTTCTGATTTTTATGTAGTATGTTTATTGAACTCTTTCTGTTAAATATTTAAGAAAATCCTTTTGTTCTCACTTTGAGAGATTGTCTGATTAGTCTAAAGTCACTGGTATGATCAAAGCTTTGCAAGTTCTTGCATAACCAGTCTGTAATCAGAAATACAAGTCAAACAAGATATTTTAATGGTTAGTGTCAGTAGAGGGAAGAACAATGACACAAACATTTCTTAGTAGACAGCCTAAGAATTTTGTTTTGGAAGAGAAAGAAATAAGGTTTCATTTCTCATACTTCCACACTTTCTGTAAATGAAAGAATATAATTCTAATGAGTCTTCAGTCTTCAGACTTCCCCCACATAGAATCTCCCAGTTGATTACATCTCCGTGGCACCTATTTTTTTCAATAGGTGTCATCAATTATAGATAAGATCTTTTCTTCAAATATGTTGCTATCTCTAGGTTGACAGCCAGCTGACATCTGTTACATGTATAACGTGAAATTAATTATTTAAAAAGAGGGTGTGGAGGTGGGAAGAGGCTAAGCTTTCTCCATCTGAGAATCATCAACAGAGCAAAGTAGATCTTTAGAAAATGCTCGTCCTTTATAAGTCATATGTTTGGACTATTTTTATACTTAAACTTTTCTATTTGTCTAAGTTTTAAATTATTGGAAGTCTGGGGAGGCGGGGGGCATTTCATCATGATTTGTTTTTTGAAATACTTGAGTCACCACTACCTATAAAGTTACTCATTTCTTTAAAATAACTCCAACTTCTTCTTGAAGAATGACCTCCACAAAATGGGCTTAAATGTGAAAGTCAACTTTTTGTTGAGCCTCAGAAGTGAAACACATTCTTTAGTCAATGGCACTAAATATTTTTGACAACAAAGGCCAAGACTGAGGGCTTCCCTCTGACCAACATGCTATGAGGCATAAGGTAGGGATTCAACAAACTGTTCCACAACAGCATTTTCATTGTCACCGAATCTTCTGGGAGAAGTAATCTGCACTCAGTATGTTTCCTTCCTTAGCCCAGTCACTAAGCAAACCACTGCTCCTTTACTTCTGACCCTACCTCTGCTGAAACTGCCTTGCTAGCTAATTCCCCCTCAACCTTCAAGACTCAGCTCAGTAGCCAATTTAGGGAATATTGCTTTGACCCCCTTGGGTGGAAGTAAGAGCTGTTCTCTGTGCTCAAGGCAACTTATATATCTCTACCCTTGTGCTTACCATATATTATTTAAAAATATGTGTTTATACATGTTTTTCTGACTAGATAAAAGTTCTACAAGGTCAAAGACTGTTCTTATTCATTTCTAAGTTTCCAACACCTGGCAAAGTGCCTAGGCTGTAAAAGGTACTTGATAAATCTTGTTGAACTGACCTGAGCTACTCTCAATGAATCCACATTTTAGTGAGAGAGACAATTTGTGGACAATTGAAATATAATGATGTCAGTGCCCTATACGATGTGTGTACAAAGTGTTACAGGAGCTCCAAGGAGGTATCATACCTCATTCACTTTATGATGCCAAAAACTAAACTGTGAGGAAATAGGAATTATGATTGGAGTGATACTGTGGTTCTCCACTTAGAAGAATGGAGAAAGTTGAGTTTTATGCTATACGTACTATAAATGCTAAGGCTCTGTACCCTGGGTGTTTGTGTTCTTTTACTCTAGCAAGATTTTAGCAGGTTGTGGTTGCCTTGGAAACAGACATCTGGCACTCTCCATTTCTAGGACATATTCAGTTTGTTAGTCATATAGTCCATTTGTCTCATTGCCTGCTTGCACCAGTGCTCCATGTGGGAACCAATGCTCAGTGTCTGAGTGAAAATGAAAATGAAAGTGAAAATGAGCACACCTCTCTCATTAAAGTAAGGTAAACCATCTTGTGGCCTGCTGAGGCTCTTGTCTTTGCAGAGGGCATATCTTCCTTTAGAATCAGTGATAATTGAGGGTCTTGTTTAATTCAGATCATCTGCATCTGAAACCTTCAGTGGGCATAGAGGTTTCTTCAAGGGAAGCTTCAACAACCAGAACCAGCTGGCGAAGATCTGGCACACAACACCTTACCTTGAGTTACTGCCCCTGAAGGAGCAACCCTTTGGGATTAGGAGTCAATAATTAGGTGCCTATAAAACACCCTGCCATTTTGACTTAACATATGCCTTGCTATCAACGAGAAGAAAGAACTGCACTGAGAGCCAGAAAGGCCAAAAAAGAGAATATGGTTATGGTCATGGAAAAGGTCTTTGAATACAAAGGGAAAAGAGATTGAGCGGTTGAAAGAAGGGTGTAAAAAGGCCACTTCCTAGCAGAAATTAAGAGCCTTTGCAAACATTTATCCAGTGTCTTGTACTGGATACACAAGCACTGCTTTTAAGAAGCTTACAAACCGGGGAAACAGCTTTGTACACCAACGTCAGTCAATATGAGGTAGAATAGGATGAATGAGCTCCTGGAAGAAAGAAAAGAGTTTTTTACCTTAGAAATGCTTATCTCTGAAAGAAATACTGGGGATAATGCCAGGGTAAACTAAAGGATGATTGGTTGTCTTTAAAAAAGAATTATTGGTGAAGTCCAGGTAGGTGGATGCCTACACATTGTGGATCAGGTGGAGCCAAGTCAGTGAGGGTTGCCCAAAGTAACCCACTCAAAGGGAGGCCTCAGTGTTTGACATCTTTCATAGGTCCTTTGTAAATACAGATCGCAAAAGTAGATTTTAATGACGTTAAAATAGAAAGTACTGTGCAACGTGCCCTGTTGCCAACAAACATGGGGCCCAAGCAAGTTCCTCTGGTTTCCCTACCCAAAGGAAAAGCCTCTTGCTCATTAAAGGTGACTTTAGCCCAGGGCTCGAGGGGAAATCCACTTAAGAGCCTGAGACTCCTTGAGAAATCATGGAATTAACAGACGATGACTTTCGGCTAGTTTTCTTAAACTATGTGCGTGAAAGGTTCCACTCCTCCATGAGGAGAGGCCACAGAGCCCACTTGTGGGCAAGAACCCCTAACATCTACAACTTACCTGCAAAAGCATCTCAATTTAGACGTCCTCCTTGCCTGCTTTTTTTTTTTGATAGGTCTATCTTTAAATAATAACCAAGAGAAACCCATTCCTTTGTCCCAATTAAGGGTTTGTGGGTCACCACTTCTGGCACAGGACTGATAAATATTAATGAAAGGGGTCAGAGCACAACTCCACCCTCACTCCCAGCCCACTTTGTGGAAATCATTACCCAGCTGCCTCTCTGGAGGCTGGGCTGTGGACTGCTGGCAAAGCCTCCAGAGCATTTGCTCTGAGTGATCTACCTTTAGGTTGCCAGCAGCGGCGGTGGAGTAATATCTAAATGTTGATTGATGATGCATTTGGTGAGGATAAAGAGGTGGGGAAACCCTTTAACCAGTTTCCATTTCTTGGAGTCTTACAATTGTCATCTTACTAAAGTATCAAGCTATGGTGTAACAGAGAGGGAAAGCATCCCTCGTTTTGGCAGCCTTGCTATATCATATCTACCTAACCATGGTGAAAGACATCATTTTTTAAGAGAATATGAAATGCTGGCTGGGCGCGGTGGCTCATGCCTGTAATCCTAGCACTCTGGGAGGCCAAGGCGGGTGGATCGTTTGAGCTCAGGAGTTGGAGCTCAGCCTGAGCAAGAGCGAGAAGCCATCTCAAAAAAAACAAAAAGAAAATATGAAATGCAGAAGTGAAAACTTTTAAAGCAAATGATTTTAAATACAAAGATGGTTGTGTACTCATTTCAAATGATTTTAATTTATGGATATTATGTTCCAACTCAAAAAAGAATATTGCACAATGCTTTAATATTACAATTATTTTTCTCACACTCTAGTGAGATTTTGATAAACATAGTTGACTTTGGAAGTAACACAGAAGATGTCTTAATTGGTTAAATAATTTCAATAACCTGTGAAGAACTGAGAACAAGATATTACATTCAAATAAAAGACAAGTACATATTCATAAATTCATTTGGCTTCAGTGAAAAATGATAAATTTCTTATATACTTTATAAAACTTCAAAGAGACAAATTAAGAATGGTGTGAAAATAGATATTTCTAAAACTTTTCAATGTACTCTCTTGCTTCTGAAAATCCATTAAACCTGCAAGAATTCTAAGAATATCTGATCACATTGTAAGCCTCTTATATTAGAGAAGCTAACACCTGATATATTTTTTTTAAAAATCTAGATTAAATAAATACAGTTCTGCACTATTAAAATAACAAAATCTGTGATGGTAAGGTAAAATTCCCCCAAATAACATAAACAATGCCAGAAAATAAATGTATCATGTCATGGCATCTATAAACATTTCTGTTCAACTTTATGAATCTACAGCATTTCTCCTAGGTAACAAACAGTTATCATCACATAGCTATGGAGTAAATGCTGAAAATTTAGGAAAAAAAATTAATGGTCACTAGGCCAAAGTTAATCTCACCAAATTCTGTTTTTTAAAATTTATTACAGCAATTTTTATTCTTTTCCTCCTTTGCCTTCTAGTTAGCATTTTTAACAGAGACGTAACACTGGGGGCCATATGCCTGAGGTGCCAATTGTTGTATTTTTTAACTTTCATTTTGCACTTTTGCTACTTTTAGATTTATTATTTGTCAGATTCATTAACACACCCTACTTTGGCTATTTTTTAAATTCATTTCCAGGAAAATTCAAACACAGCATTAGAGAAAAAAGCAAAAACATTATGTTGCCTGATACACCATTTAGTCTTGCTCTAGAACTGATTTTTATAAGCTGTTAATTGTTTCAGTAGTGTTGATATCTTTATTAATGCTTAAACTAGGAATTCTGCACCATGAATTTTTTTTTTTATGGTTGTCCTTAGATATAAGGAATTCTTCACATTTTTGTGAATATTCCAGGCATTTAACACCTGGTATATTTACTCATTCATTATCTTTATCAAACCTGAACATTTTATAAAATATTTGAAAAAAAATATCTGCAGAAGATACCCTCAGAAAACACTCTTATCAAAAAGAAAAGGGTAAAATAATGGATTAGTTCAATTATGGCTTGAACTAGAAACACTGATTATAATTATATTGCAGAAAACATTTATAATTATTCCATTCAAAGATGATTCTCGTTCAGATTGATGATTGGCAGTTGATTTGCAATAAAAGATAGAAATTATGTGAGTCTAGGATAGTACCAGGATTGCACATGAGGGCAATTTTTTCAACTGGATAGGGATGTGAGTATTTATGATCTCGTTTGCTTATTGACTAGATAAGGATATGACTAGTGTTTTCTATTTTCTGTTCATTTTGCATATTCTCGTATTTCAAAATTAATTACTTATCCTCATCTGTCACTCAGATTGCATTTTGGTTTAAACAGAGGACTCAATCATAACATGGACAGAGAAAATCTCAACATCTATCTAAATGACTCTGATTGCATCATCCTCCTCACTGCTCTTACAAGAATCAAATTTTATTATAAATTCAGGAGGAAAAAAACCTTACAGATCCAAATATACATACATTACTTGTAATATTTTAATTTGTAGGCAAGAAGAATATAAAATCTTATCCTCTAGCCTTTTCACTATAAGTGTAATAAAATTCCTACAAGTTAAGAAAAAGTTACTTGCTTCAAATACTAATCTATGATATATCAGAATATTTTTGCTATCAGAAGTATAAACATTAGCAATTAAGGAACTTAACTGTGAGTCAAAAACTACAACAATACTAAGTAAACCTCTTTTCTAATTGAAAATATCATTACAGTTCAACATTTTCAGAAAACAAAACCCAGTAACAAAAAATTAAAAAAATCTTCACACATACACACTCTAGTTTTCTTGTCAGAAATAAAAACTCCAGAAGGTTATGCGATGCTTTCACAATCATTTAAGCTAGGACAAGCCGACTGTAGCATTTCTTTTACTTTAAAAAATCAAAAATAATTTTAACATAAAATATTTAATTGATAATACATGGTGAACATGACTTGCCAATTTCACGAGGCATAACTTAAAACTCTCCATGGTTACCTAGAGGAGGAAATCCAGCATTAATTTTTTTTCCACAGACTCAGAGTGGACTCCCTTCTGTGTACCTATAAACCTGGGCACATCTTGTGAACCAGAGAAATGGGCCAACAGTATTCCTTGTGTGGCTTTCAGCTATCCTTGTGACACTCAGAAGCATTCTCTCTTTTAATCTCAGTAAAGTTACATGATAATTGGTTTCCATATTCAGAAACTATTGTGTCAACTTTTAATTATCTTTAAAGTTATCTTTAAAGACCTTATTGATAACATATCCACATTTATAGTCTTAAAAAAAACTACATTACTAGGGTTTCAAGTAGAATTTGAATGCACATTGTCACATAAACCTAAATTTAACAGCAGCTCTGATGTTCAGATTTGAGTAATGCATGTTATGCTTTTTATCTTTAAAGAATATAGTCTCCAACCTACATGTGGTTATGAAAATCTGTCAAAATCAAGGGGAAAAAGTTATCTATCCTAGGATTTCTCTTATAAATTTATTTAAAAGATGCTGACATATCTAGGTCAGTTGTTTTCAAGCTTTCATTGGGTTAAATTGTGAGAAATATCTTGATATCACAGTTCTTGTTTATAAGTCTTGTACATATAAATAATGCAAACAAATATAATTGAACTGTCAGTCGAAGCTGTTCCTATTACCCGTACTGGTTAAACTGGTACCTCTCCTTTTATGAATTTGTTTCATATGAAAATCAATTCATCCAGGGTTTTTGGCCCAGAACACCAGAAAAAGCAACTTTACAAATTGGTTTGAAGTATTTAACATTAAGCTCTTAAGTCAGAGCATTATTCGTCAGTATTGAACCATGATCAGAACAAGCATTGAACAAGCAATAATAAAACCTCTTCCAGAATCTCCTGCTTCTAAGGGTTACCCTTAGAATTTACAACTGGAAATGCAGTGTTGTACTTTCTTTTCTTTAGGAATAACAAATTGATATAAAGAAAATAATTATAGGTTACCATTTTGAACACAACAATACCAATACTTTGAAGAACTGACAGTGTATTCTATAGATATATGTGCCGTAGACTATGAGAAAGGAAACACTTTAGGGGAAAAAAAATCACATTACAAAATATATTATAAAAATAAATTACATAGTATGTGCCCATGGACCTGAAGGCTTTGTAAAAGGAAGAGAAATTGCTTTTGACATGAAGATTGAAATGCTCTTGTTACATATTTTCATGTAATCAGAAAGGCCATTTCCACCTTTTACATCATATTCTCAAAAAAAAAAAAAGAAAGAAAGAAAGAAAGACAATCACTGGAAGTAGTAAAATATTTCCAGTCGTGATCAGTAGCATGGAGGACTTTAGTAATGATTGAGGGCTGTAGAAACACTATCCATTCAACAGGGATTCATAGGAAGTACACGCACTCAGTCTGTGCTTGGTTTACCATTTCATCTGGAGTTCATGCGTAACTGGTGAATGATGATGCTTTCTATAAAGAAAAGAAAGATATGGCATTTTCAATTAAACTGAAATTCAAATCAGTAGTTTATTTAAGAATCAATACCACATCATTTCACTAAAAGACCATAGATGTTAAACAAAAAAACAAACAAACAAAAACAACTACGTTGTTGTTGAACCTGATAGGTCTCCTGCAGTATTTTACTGTTCTTGGGTAACTTCTTTATGTTGATGTACATGCTTTACGTCAAAAATTCTTAAAGCCCTTTCAAAGCCATGTTTAATATTCTAACAATATTAGATCAATTTTAACCAAGGAAAGAATTGAAAACAAAAATAGTCATTACTGTATACAAGCCCTGTAATGGGAAACTAGACTATTTCTTAGAAGTAACGCTATTCTCCCAGGCAAACTCATTCTGATCAGAACAATATCTACACACCTTTAATTTCTTTTTGAATGTGTATAGGTTGGTATTTTAATAAGGAGATAGTCATTGTTTATTCCTAAGAAGTCAATAAATACAGATGGCTCACTTTTGTCTCTAACTGCTTCTTTTTGCATAACTCTATATGCTTTTAAATCTACATTCATTCTCATAAAAGCAAATTAAAAATAGATTGAGATAGTAATTAAAATAGTCCAGCCCCATGATGGATATGTAATAATTATATTTATTTCATTGGGTGTTCTTTTATATTAACATTTATGCCTTCATAAACATATATCATCATCATTTTTTTATTCCATCATTCAGAACTATTTTTTTTGTTTTTTTGAGACAGAGTCTCCTCGCTGTTGCCTATGCTAGAGTGAGTGCCATGGCATCAGCCTAGCTCACAGCAACCTCAAACTCCTGGCAATCTCCTGGCAAACTCCTCAAGCAATCCTTCTGCCTCAGCCTCCCAAGAAGCTGGGACTACAGGCATGCGCCACCATGCCCGGCTAATTTTTTTCTATATATATTAGTTGGCCAATTAATTTCTTTCTATTTTTAGTAGAGATGGGATCTCGCTCTTGCTCAGGCTGGTTTCGAACTCCTGACCTCAAGCAATCCACCCACCTTGGCCTCCCAGAGTGCTAGGATTACAGGGGTGAGCCAAGTGCCCGGCCAAGAACTATTTATTGAGACTGTATACTGTACTAGGCATGGAACTACATCCGTGATCACACTGAGACGGAGTCCTGCCATCCCTGAGACTATACAGAGCAGAGGAAAGATAGTACCTAAGCCTCAGATAGTTTCTCTACCTGAAAAATGTATTACCTCCCTGTCAACATATGGCATATGTTTTGAGTGCAAAATGTTATATCAGGGTCTATCGATAGCATGAGGAAACTTCCACCCATTATTATCAATTTAATTTCAAATGCATATGATTTGTTTTATTTTTAGTTAGCTAGTTAACATATAACACATTGACTGCCATACTAGAAAAAAAATTTTCTTCCTTGGGGCCATGGTGTTTTATTACAAAAATAGAATAAAAACTTCAAAAACAAAATGATCCTTTCTAATTTAATGAAAACTTTTTTTTTTATTGTTTTCTGTGAAATAGTTCACTTGGCTCCCAAGGTACAGACATGTGAGTTACATATGCTTCATGAGGCCCCAGGCTCAAAACTAGCATGAGTTAAATGCAAGTCTCATGGCAGTTTATGTGATAAGTAGACAGAGCTATTAGCTATGTTTTCCCCAAATCACATTATTCCATCTTTTATTATAGATCTATAGGTTCATGGTAATTATGCACAGTGGATGATCCTTTGTCAAAAAGAAAATGTTGGTGTGGGGGCTGGGGGGTGGATGATGGGAGGTTGCTTGTTGGGTACAAGAATGCATTGCTTCAGTGATGGATGCACTGAAGAAAAACTCTGACGTCACCACAAGGCAATAGATCAATGTAGCAAAATCACACGTGCCCCATGAACATAGGCAAATAAAACATAAATTTACCAAAAAGTATAGGGAAGGAGGGAGGAAGGGAGGAAGGAAGAAAGGAAGGAAGGAAGGAAGGAAGGAAGGAAGGAAGGAGAGAGAAAAGAAGAAATTTTCTTAATTTGGTTTCATTAACTTTACCTCATGATTACCAGTAGGTGGAGATATTTCCATTTTTTTCCCTTAGCCTTTTGGCTTGAATTTGAGATAAAACAGATAAGAAAGTAAAACGAAATATATAAATGTCTTATATACTTAATGTTAGCTATCAAGGTTTTATAAAGCTTTTAAAACATACAGACAATATTTCACGATACCAGAAAGCCTTAAAAATCATTATCTCATTTTTTTCATTGAAAAATAGTCCTAGCTTCAACTTCTTTAATGTCTCAAAATATATCAAAATCTTTAGAGAAAAAAAAATTAAAAACACTAATTAAACATTATTTAGTTGAATTAGCATCCAATATTAAAATGCTATTACTGTTAAAAAATTTCTGTAGTAGGTTTCAAAGAGTAAAATGACCTAGGTCTCAACTCCTCCTGTAAAATTAAAGTATCTTTAATTTCCTTTCCTTAAGAAAGCATAGAAAAAGTGTAAAATCAGCCTTGTTCTTACGGTGGATGTAATTCAGAAATCTTGTGCCTTTGTTTCTACATACTAAATAGGGTATTAGAGATCATCTCTAAAGTCCTTTGTAGGGTTGACATTTCATAGTACTAAAATACCTTCTTTCTCCTTGAACATACAAACCTCTCAATTCCTAGAGTTGCCTTCTCTTAATCCTAGCATTTTGAAAGCTCCAGAATATAGCTTTTTAGAATTAGTATTTGGTGAAAATACATATGGCAAAAGGGTCCATACATAGAAGAAACGTTTTAATTGGACCACTACATGTAATTATTATATTTAAAATAGCAAACTGGTAATCAACACATGGTATGTATGCTGATGCTATTAATCAGATTATGTTATTAAATAGAATGTCCTAGAAATACTTGATAATAGCAAATAAGAGTTTATTTTATATAAATTCCACTTTAATAATAAAAGATAGTACTTAATATTTATGTACATAAACTTTATTTAAAAAATATTAAGACCAAATTATTTTATTTTATATACATGGAGACATATTTCATCTCATTTCTAGAGATAGTGAGACAAGATCTATATGATAATGGGTCAATTAATTGAAACTTATTCAACAGATTTATTAAATGTATAGTTCCATATTAGCTATGTTTTCCCCAAATCTCAGCTGAATTTACTCATATAAGAATCACCCAGCCAACACATAAAATTGTGAGAAGTTTTTAATGGCAATATTGCTTTGAGCCATTAAATTTTGAAGTAACTTATTATATAGCAAAACTACCTGATGTATATGGAGTCCACAGTTGCCAGAAAAATTATTAATGCTTTGGAAATTGATGACAGTATTTGTATTTTTAAAAAAAATGTTCAGAGGCAGAATTCCCAACTCTCTTCCTGTCTTTTTATATTAAGTACAATAAAATAATGTTATAAGTTTTATTGACATCATAGAGTCAGTGAGCAAATTTTATTCCATTTTTTACTCTGTTTTCATTTCATCCCAAAACAAGGCCCAAATATAGATCATTTGGGGCCTTTAACATGACCTCAGTAAAATCAGGTATAATTCTGTCATAATTGTTCTTTTTATCAACACCAGTTTTCTGACATTAGTGATTTGTAGAACATTTAATAGGCAGATTGGACCCAAAGATAATAGTTAATTACCACCTCTTTTTCAGCAAACTTAAAATGGTCAAGCATTTAAATTTGGAGCCCTCTGATATGCAGACATTAACACAATTTCCTTTTTTTCTAAATGGAAGGGAAAAGATCTCTAAATCTTAATGAACATATACATATAGGAGACATTGGGTTTTTATATATTTTTGACATTAACAATTTACCAAAATGTACTTACAGACATTTTCCCCTATATGTTTCTCTCTGGTGTTATCTTGATAGTTTTTTCCTTAAGAAACTTCAGCTAACACATTAAGTGTGTTATTCTAGCATTATTGTGAAATGATGTGGCATATTGATTCTTTTTATTACACTAGCTATTAAATAACTTTCATGGTAAGGAAGTTCAACATGTTATATCAATGCCTAATTATACTTGATTTGTGACCTTACTAAGTACTCATCCTCCTTGGCTAATATCCCAAAATTACTGGCCAGCCAGATAACTTCACATCCAAAGCTGTGTGCATGAGATGGGATTTAGGGAGAAATTTGGGGGAGAATGTCTCTTGAGTGCAGAGTGGGGTAACCTCACAACAAACTGGAATTCTCTTTCATCCCAGGAGAGCTCCTTGGCTGTAGAGTGGGAAAGATGTACTCCCTGAAAAGTGAATGCCTCCCTCCCAAGCAGTGCATATGTTTACACTCTGCCAAACTCTCTGCAAGGGAACACTTGAGCTCTGAATTTTAAAAATCTGCTCTAGTGAGTGAGACCATATCACTTTAATAGCTAGCTTCTAAGTTGACACACAAAAGACAAAACATAGCAGAAGTTCAACATGTAGCAGGACATTGCATCAGCAAAGAAAGACTGCTTCATCCACAGGAAACTCTGTAGCAAATTACAGGAAAAAAAAATGTCCTCGTGGATTTTGCATCAATTTGACTGGCCTATATATAGCCTGCTTCCCATGTTCTATGGCTTCCTACCCACCAGAGCCTCTGCCTAGCAGCTTAGGGCTGTGCTGTTATTCCTCTCCAACTACCAAAGCTCAGCTTTGAACCTGCACCTCTCAGGACAATCTATCCACTGCAAAAATGTCCTACGTTCTATACATCTTCTAGAAACAGAAGGGCCTAGTTATCGTTTACTTTCAAATTTCTCATTTTCATAAACTGCTTCAGGGTTCTGTCCTATTATTATCACATTCAGAAATTAATCAGAGTTCTGTTAAAACATCTGTTTTAAATAGGAAGTTCAATAAACTTCCTCTGTTCACTTGGACTTGTATTCCTTCTTTTGGATTCAGCTCAGCTAATTAAAAATACTTCCGATAATCAGTTCTGTCATTTTTTTCTAGGAAACTT